GATGAATTTGGTAGGGTGTGCAAAAGAAGAAAAATTAAAGGTGAATACAGGAAAGAGTAAGGTTATGAGGATAACAAAAAGATTAGGTGATGAAAGATTGAATATCAGATTGGAGGGAGAGAGTAAGGGAGGAGGTGAACGTATTCAGATATTTGGGAGTGGACGTGTCAGCGGATGGGTCTATGAAAGATGAGGTGAATCATAGAATTGATGAGGGAAAAAGAGTGAGTGGTGCACTTAGGAGTCTGTGGAGACAAAGAACTTTGTCCTTGGAGGCAAAGAGGGGAATGTATGAGAGTATAGTTTTACCAACGCTCTTATATGGGTGTGAAGCGTGGGTGATGAATGTTTGCAGCGAGGAGAAGGCTGGAGGCAGTGGAGATGTCATGTCTGAGGGCAATGTGTGGTGTGAATATAATGCAGAGAATTCGTAGTTTTGGAAGTTAGGAGGAGGTGCGGATTACCAAAACTGTTGTCCAGAGGGCTGAGGAAGGGTTGTTGAGGTGGTTCGGACATGTAGAGAGAATGGAGCGAAACAGAATGACTTCAAGAGTGTATCAGTCCTGTAGTGGAAGGAAGGCGGGGTAGGGGTCGGCCTAGGAAGGGTTGGAGGGAGGGGGTAAAGGAGGTTTTGTGTGCGAGGGGCTTGGACTTCCAGCAGGCATGCGTGAGCGTGTTTGATAGGAGTGAATGGAGACAAATGGTTTTTAATACTTGACGTGCTGTTGGAGTGTGAGCAAAGTAACATTTATGAAGGGATTCAGGGAAACCGGCAGGCCGGACTTGAGTCCTGGAGATGGGAAGTACAGTGCCTGCACTCTGAAGGAGGGGTGTTAATGTTGCAGTTTAAAAACTGTAGTGTAAAGCACCCTTCTGGCAAGACAGTGATGGAGTGAATGATGGTGAAAGTTTTTCTTTTTCGGGCCACCCTGCCTTGGTGGGAATCGGCCGGTGTGATAATAAAAAAAAAAAAAACTAGTAAGAAAATAGAAGAAAACCCAGAGGGGTGTGTACATATATGCTTGTACATGTATGTGTAGTGTGACCTAAGTGTAAGAAGTAGTAGCAAGATGTACCTGAAATCTTGCATGTTTACGAAACAGAAAAATGGACACCAGCAATCTTACCATCATGTAAAACAATTTAGTACCTCCCTGGGCGGTTGCTGTCTACCAACCTACTACATAGGCAGTTTAGAAGCTTATACGTATAAAGATACACAACATATCCCTCCAAACTGCCAATATCCCAAACCCCTCCTTTAAAGTGCAAGCATTGTACTTCCCATTTCCAGGACTCAAGTCCGGTTATATAAAAATAACCGGTTTCCCTGAATCCCTTCACTAAGTATTACCCTGCTCACACTCCAACAGCTTGTCAGGTCCCAAAAACCATTCGTCTCCATTCACTCGTATCTAACACGCTCATGCATGCTTGCTGGAAGTCCAAGCCCCTCGCCCACAAAACCTTTACCCCCCCCCCCCCTCCAACCTTTTTGAGGACAACCCCTACCCCACCTTCCTTCCCCTACAGATTTATGCACTATCCATGTCATTCTACTTTGATCCATTCTCTAAATGACCAGATTACCTCAACAACCCCTCTTCAGCTCTCTGACTAATACTCCACACCTTCTCCTAATTTCAACGCTTCAAATTTTCTGCATAATATTTACACCACACATTGCCCTTAGACAGGACATCTCCACTGCCTCCAACTGTTTCCACGCTACAGCATTTACAACCCAAGCTTCACACCCATATAAGAGTGTTGTACCACTATACTTTCATACATTCCCTTCTTTGCATCCATAGATAATGTTTTTTGTCTCCACAGATACCTCAATGTACCACTCACTTTTTTTCCTTCATCAATTCTATGATTAACCTCATCCTTCATAAATCCATCCACTGACATGTCAACTCCCAAGTATCTGAAAACATTCACTTCGTCCATACTCCTCTCCAATTTGATATCCAGTTTTTCTTTATCTAAATCATTTGATACCCTTATCACCTTACTCTTTTCTATGTTCACTTTCAACTTTCTACCTTTACACACACTCCCAAACTCATCCACTAACCTTTGCAATTTTTCTTTAGAATCTCCCATAAGCACAGTATCATCAGCAGAAAGTAACGGTGTCAATTCCCATTTTGTATTTGATTCCCCATAATTTAATCCCACCCCTCTCCTAAACATCCAAGCATTTACTTGTTTTACAACCTCATCTATAAATATACTAAACAAACATGGTGACATTACACATCCCTGTCTAAGACCTACTATTACCGAGAAGTAGTCTCCCTCTCTTCTACAAACCGTAACCTGAGCCTCACTATCCTTATAAAAACTCTTTACAGCATTTAGTAACTTACTACCTATTTCATATACTTGCAACATCTGCTACATTGCTCCCCTATCCACTCTATCATATGCCTTTTCTAAATCCATAAATGCAATGAAAACTTCCTTACCTTTATCTAAATACTGTTCACATATATGCTTCAATGTAAACACTTGATCTACACATCCCCTATCCACTCTAAAACCTCCTTGCTCATCCACAATCCTATATTCTGTCTTACATCTAATTCTTTCAATTATAACCCTTCCGTACACTTTTCCTGGTATACTCGGTAAACTAATTCCTCTATAATTTTTACAATCTGTTTTGTCCCCCTTCCCTTTATATAAAGGGAGTATACATATGCTCTGCCAATCCCTAGGTACCTTCCCCTCTTTCATACATTTATTAAACAAAAATACCAACACTTTCCCAGATTCTGGGGACCCACAAACAAAAAAAAAAATCAAGAATATTGTTCTAACTAAACCTCATGAAACACCACTGCATCCCACTGATACAGCTAACAAGATAAACGACTTCTTCTCAAACGTAGGATCTAATTTCACCAGTAAAATCCCACGTACCAATGCCTGTGCCGGGGACTACCTAGATGGGAATTTCCCAAATTCCTTCTATCTTGTACCAACTGAGCCCACAGAAGTCACTGCGATCATAAAGTCACTTAAAAATAACTCGGGGAATCTGTCTCACGTCCCACCATTATTGTACAAGCGAGCGGCCCATGTCCTTTCACATGTTATTACATTACTTTTTAACAAGTCACTAGAAACTAGCACTTTCATGACACTACTCAAGACAGCAAGGGTTACACCAATACATAAAGGTGGTGTCCCTACAGACGTAAACAACTATAGGCCAATATCAAACTTACCATTGCTATCCAAGTTCTTCGAGAAACTCGTGCACAGGAGACTATATTCATTTATAACGTCACAAAACATACTCAACCCCTGCTAATTTGGATTCAGGAAAAATAAAAGCACTAATGATGCAATTATAAAAATGCTAGACCTGCTTTACACAGCATTGGAAAATAAGGAATATCTGCTAGGAATTTTAATTGACCTAAGAAAAGCGTTTGACACAGTAGACCACGGCATCCTACTCCACAAACTTGACCACTATGGTATAAGAGGCCATGCGCTTGCATATTTTAAATCCTACCTTTCTAATAGGTATCAGTATGTCACCATTAAAGACACAGCCTCATCAATACGGCCACTTGATACTGGAGTTCTGCAGGGAAGTGTCCTTGGACCCCTGCTCTTCCTCATTTACATCAATGATCTTCCAAACACATCCCAACACCTGAAACCCATTCTCTTTGCTGACGACAGGACTTATGTCATCTCCCACCCTAATCTTGCCATCCTCAACACCATTGTTAACAAGGAGCTGCTCAAAATATTGACTTGGATGACAGCCAATAAACTTACACTTAACACTGGTAAAACCTACTACAGTGGAACCTCAAATATTGAACTTTCTTCAGTCCAGAAGGCTGTTCGAGGGCCTTTACCGAATGAATTTATTCCCATCAGGAATAATGTACATTAGATTAGTCCATTTCAGACCCTCAAAAATACACTTATAAAAAGTACTTACAAAAATACACTTACATAATTGGTTGTGATGGGAGCAGTTCGATTTTTGAGGTTCCACTGTATATTATGTTTGGTAGCAGAGCAGGCGTTGCGCAACTTAACATTAAGATCGACAACACTCTAATTGCCAGACATAATGAGGGCAAATTCCTTGGCCTATACCTTGACAACAACCTAAATTTCAGCACTCATATCCAACATGTAACAAGAAAAGTATCCAAAACGGTGGGGATCCTCTCCAAGATACGATACTACGTACCGCACACTACCCTTCTCACACTATACCATTCACTTATATATCCATACCTCACCTGTGCTA